TGTCACACACACACTCAACATTGCGAGACTGGCGTGTTGCCCTTCCGTTGGGCATAATGATAGATCCACGGCCCATGGTGCGCAAACTTTACCGCAAACATTCTTATAGTAAGCGAAAGGTGGCGGCCATAATAGTCCTCGATTTAGGGGAACGAGTCTGTGATTACACCAAAGATTCTCTACCCCACGATCTTTGGTTACACCATTGACTGTACCAGTGCTTCACGTGATGGTCCACGCCTATTTTTGTCCTGGGTACTATTTTTATGGGTGCCAGAGATTCGTTATGTATTCGATGTAAGATTGTTACACATTGTTATGGCTGAAAAAATCACTTGAAAGTTGTTGTTGTTGCTGCTGCTGCTGCTGCTGCTGTTGTTGTTGTTGTTGTTGTTGTAATTGCTGCTCCTGAAGACAGGTGTCTAAATGTGTCCAGAAATGTGGTGTTGATGATGATGGTGATGATGGTATATCAAAGGAGACTTGATAACGCTGACAAGAATCTATGAAATGATGATGGTGTTTGTTAGCCGTTTAGTTTCGTTTTTTTCCAACCATGCAAGTGTCACTCTTGGTGTGTGGGACGTGCTCCCAACCTGCTGGTACCATCTACAACAGAACACCTTACCCTCTATAACACCTTCCCCTCTACAATATTATAACACCTTCCCCTCTACAATATTATAACACCTTCTCTACAATATTATAACACCTTTCCCTCTACAATATTATAACACCTTCTCTACAATATTATAACACCTTCTCTACAATATTATAACACCTTCCCCTCCTCTACAATATTATAACACCTTCTCCTCCTCTACAATATTATAACACCTTCTCCTGCTCTACAATATTATAACACCTTCCCCTCTACAATATCATAACACCTTCTCTACAATATTATAACACCTTTCCCTCTACAATATTATAACACCTTCTCTACAATATTATAACACCTCCTCTACAATATTATAACACCTTCTCCTCCTCTACAATATTATAACACCTTCCCCTCTACAATATTATAACACCTTCTCTACAATATTATAACACCTCCTCCTCTACAATATTATAACACCTTCTCCTCCTCTACAATATTATAACACCTTCTCCTCTACAATATTATAACACATTCCCCTCCTCTACAATATTATAACACCTTCTCCTCTACAATATTATAACACCTCCTCTACAATATTATAACACCTTCTCCTCCTCTACAATATTATAACACCTTCTCCTCCTCTACAATATTATA